AACACCAATGTTGCCTGCTGAGCAGTTGATTGAGCATGATCATAAGACATCAGCGCATTGAACCATTGATAACTTTCGATCCTTGCATTTAATCAAAAAGTGGCCTTCAGCAAAGTTGTAGCTGAGAAAATTTCCTACAAGTGCAGTTAAAAGCTTTTGAAGCAGACTGATATGGTGAATTATTAGATAGACATGAACAAAAATCTTGGTTTTACCATAGTAATTCCCATACAAACTTCAAATGGTTTGTGCCATCTCAGTTTCTCACCAAATGGGTTCAAATTTTGAGAGGTTAGTCAGGATCCGATTTGGAATCGTTTATCTATTGTGGAGTGAAAATTTCAAATTTTGCATCACTCTACTGTGCATCCGTCTGGAAATATTTCGATAGTAAAGACATTGTCCCAATCTCGGTTGATCTATTAGATCAAATTATCTGAACTCCAGGACGATTTGAAGAACCTTGAACATCTGGATTACTCGGAAATAGATCATGCATGATCCACATAGACACTTTGAATATGAATGGACATTTTTCGATACTACAGACATTATTGTAGTCTTGGTTGATCTAGTAGAACAAATCAACTGATGTCCTGGACGATTTGGAAAACCTATACTTTCCGGTATACATAGTAATAAGTCGTGCATGATCCATAAAGTCACATATATACGATTCGGTTATTATTTGACAACAAAAAGTACTAGGTTCACATTAGAAATAAAAAAAAAGTCATGAAAATGTCTCACCATTGAACAGAACCCAAGGAATATCCGTGTAAATACACAACGCAATACGTGACGTGAACAACATGTGTGACCTATGAAACTCTGGTAATTTCTCGGTTATGTGCAGCGTATATGGTTTGAATCGGTCAAAAATTGAGAAAACTAGAGCCAAATTAACTACAACATTTAGAACAGTAAAATACGTCAGAGACGCAAATTTAAAAAAAAAATGCATTGCAAATGAAAATGCATTTTTTTTTAAATAATGTTTCATCAAATCTAGACCGGTATTATTCAATAAAATCTCATAATGTAAGGGTGTTTTATTATGTTCACTAATTACTCAGAATTTAAACTATGCATAAATAACTGAAGATGATAAATGCTATTAAAAAAAATCAAAGGTCACAAACGATACTCCTTTAGCTCAGTTGGTAAAGGGGCAGCTACAGAGCAAGTCCATGCTGGAGGCGACTGAGTTCGATTCCCGTCCGGTCTATTAATTTTTCGGGTTGGAAAATGTCTCTACTTTCTTTGGCATAGGATGGTACAGGCATAGAAAGCTCTCAATTAAAATGTGAAAGTACTTCAAAGAACACTAACTTGAGAGCAGGCAAAAATCTAATATGCTACTGAATAAGCAATAGGTTTGCAATGCCATGTAGTAGTATACAAATTCTATTTTTAGACAATGAAAACAGTTTTTTTTTTGTCGCGGATTAGTATTTGAAGTCGCGGATTTCTTTTGAGAAATTGCGAATTTCGCGGATCAAATTTAAAAAAATCTTGTAACAGCCCTGTAGTTCCGTTATAGTACGGCAGTGTGAAATTTGTATATAGAAAGTATAAAGCAAGGAAGGTACGAATCGGGTAGAGCATTTCTTTTACCAAGCTCATCCGTTAATGAGGGATGATGAGGGGTGTTTCCCCCTGCCATCACTGGCAAAGGGATGATCGCCGATTTGCTCATGTACCTCCGATGTGCGGAAACAGTTCTATCGATTGTTTCACACTCAAGTCGCCATCTGACGTAAACAACTACCCGATTCGTACCTTCCTTAAAATTGTCTTTTGCTTGCTTTCTACTTTGTATATACAATTTTCACACTGCCGTACTATAACAGAACTATCAACTCTATAATTTAATCTCCTCATCTATCGCATAAAATCTCCACTTTAAGTTTGATATTTGACGTTAAGCATCTCGGACTATGTAAATCGTTAAATTCACACATGAAGTAATAACACATGATTAGTTTAATTAGATTATTTTCTTTTTTATTGATTCTTCTAGAAACTCCCTGAAGGCTCCTTCCATAAATCCATTTTAAATTTATTTGAATTCTCTTTAGAATTTCCATGCAATTGACCTCAGAAATTTCATAAATTTCTGCTTAGAATAATCTTGGACTGCTCCCCTGCATTCAATTGGACATACAATTCGTATTCTCATCAGAATCCTCAAAGCAAAAATCCATCTCAGAATAAATTTGAAAATCTTCTCAAAATTCCTTTGAGATTGAACCCTCAAAATTCGATTCAATTGGAATTCTTCTCGGAATTTATTTCGAACTCCTAAGAATTCTCTTGGAAGTATCTTCAGAAATCACTCCAGATTTATTTTAAAACTATCCGCATAGACCATCTTTGGAGTTTTCATGTAATTTCCATCATTCCAGAACTAATTTTGAATTCTTATTAGAATTAGACCTAGAATCCTCATTCAATCATTCTTCTCAGAACTCTCGTTAAAATTCTCTATCAATTCTATTGGATTTATTCACAAAATTGTTTCGGAGCTGAATTTTGCGTCTCTAATAATGTAAACAATAATCAAAAGCGACGCTCGTATGTGCAAGCCAAGTTTAACCATACATAGAGGTAAACCTGGCTTAAGATTTAAGCGGAGATGAAGAAATCGGTCCTCAGAGCACTTAATTTTACATGAGACTTTCGTAGTCTGTACTTTGGTATTCTTTTCTGATATATATGATATATCTTGGTGTCATCCCTAGAATCCTTTAAAATTCTCTTCTCTCTTACTTTGGATTTTTTAAAGTTCTGAATCATCCTTGAAAGACTTTTGAAAATCAATCACAAAGGAGGTAATGAAATTGCCACACTATGAAATTGCTCTAACTTTTTAACCGTTGGGTAGAATTTAATGAAAATTTGGGTGGATTTAGTTCATAGTGCATTATTTACATCCTGCAAGTTTTAAAGTCCTGTGATCCAAACTCGCGGAAATGGAGTCGAAAGAACAGCTCGTGCGTGATAAAATCTTGCGCATTCATCACGAGAACAAGGATCTCTCGCATCGTTCCATCGCTAAAACGTTGGGAATCGCGAATTCCACGGTGTCGCGAGTGATTAAGCGGTTCGAGGAACGGTTGACCACCGATCGGAAGCCCAGAAGTGAAGGAAAAAGTATTCCGTACAACACCAAAAATCACAACCGCGTAGTTGGGGCCTTCAACCGAAATCCGAACGCCTCCGTTAGGGATGTGGCTAAGAAGCTGCACCTAAGCCGAAGTTTTGTCCAGAAGGCCAAAACTAAGGCTGGGCTTCGAACGTTCAAGGTACAAAAGGCCCCTAATCGCGACGAGAAGCAGAACAAGTCCGCCAAAACCCGTGCCAGGAAGTTGTACCTCAACATGCTGACGAAAGTTGAATGCTGCATCATGGACGACGAAACATATGTGAAGGCCGACTTCAAACAGATCCCCGGCAACCTGTTTTTCACGGCCAAGGATAAGTTCAGCGTTCCGGAGCATGTCCGCACTCAGAAGATGTCCAAATTTGCGAAGAAATTCCTGGTTTGGCAAGCCATCTGCACGTGCGGGAAGCGGAGTGCACCTTTCGTGACCCAGGACACGATGAACGGACAGGTGTACATAAAAGAGTGCCTCCAGAAGCGGCTGCTTCCTCTCCTGAAGGCCCACAACGTCCCAACAATCTTCTGGCCGGATTTGGCCTCATGCCACTACTCCAAGGACGTGCTGAAGTGGTATGCGGACAATAAGGTCAATTTCGTGCCGAAAATGTTCAACCCTCCCAACACTCCGGAGCTCCGCCCCATCGAGAAGTACTGGGCGATTATGAAGCAGCACCTTCTTAAACGACCTAAGGTAGTGAAGACAGTCGAGGAACTGAAGAAAGTATGGGTTTACATGCAAAAAACGGTTGATTCACAGGTTGTGCAGAATCTTATGGCCGGGGTTAAGGCCAAGGTGCAGGCATTTGCGTATGGACTGTAAATAAAATACGAGTAAAATGGTAAAATGAAGTTTAATAGTTATTTCTCAATCCCTGAAAATTTGATGGCAATCGGATGAAAACTCGAATTTTGCGAATCAATTTTGTGTGTGGCAATTTCATCGTGGACACCCTTTATATTTTCCCCGATTTTTAATCAAAATTGAAGGCATTTCTCAATAGTTTTCCTGGTGTTCTGAAGTTTTGCGGATCACTGGTCACCCTGGTTCAAATTTTCAATCTTTTAACAGATATGTACAGTTTGTTAAAGCTACTGTAGACTTTCTTAGTGCCAAGTACATACCCAATTTAAACATTCTGTTGATATTTTTGAAAAAGTAACTTTAGTGACTATTTTTAGGGAAATAGTGACTTTAGTGACTTTTTCGAGCAGTGACTGGCTTCAAAATAGTAACCAAGTCACTAAAAAGTGACCTGCTACCAGCCCCGAAGTCGACGAAGAGAATCTGTCAATGTTACTTAGGACCTAATGCAATGTTCAGCTTGAATTGTTACAATTATTGGCATTCCCGCTAATCTGAATATTGCCCAGGGAAATCACGGTTTCAGATATATTGTGAACCGAGAATTTCGAAAGAAATTCCACCTCTTTTAATTGTGTCTTATATTAAGATTTGGAAAACCCGGCCAAATCATGAATTAGAAGAAAAGGGGTGTAAGTGACTTTGATCGATTCTCTTCATCGACATTCTCTTTTGATAGCCACAGATTTTTCGCTATTTTTGCCACATAGTTTAATATAGGAGGTTCTCATCTAGCATCCAGAATGGCACACGAATCAAGGAATGTGTTTGCAGCTGAATTATTAACGAAAGAGAAAGTCGGCGAAGAGAATCGATCAAAGTCACTCACACCCCTTTCCTTCTAACCTCCTCAAATACAAATTTCAATCGAAAAATTAACGCTATATTATTTTAGTATGTACTGTCCTATTTCTGTTTTCTTGGCTTAAAGCATAAAACTTACCATTAAATTTGCTCTATCTTTCGTTACAGAACGCAAAAAGTACGCCGACGTTTTCGAGCCCTGGCAGCCAATTCGCTAGTCGACCGGATTTCAAATCGATGTTTCGGCCGCAAAAATACCTACTCAAAATCTAGCCTTTTAGTTTCAGTTCCAAATACCGCTTCTACCATCTCAAACAGCGGATGTGAATAAAAAAAAAAACGTAACATGATTGTAAAAATGGTCAATCGAATGCGTTCGGTTCATCTTGTAGTCCGAAAGGTCAACCTAGTAATTACAGAGAGTAGAAAGAAAGAAAAACCTTCAGAAGAGGCCAAACGGAGAACCGGATTGCGAATTAGGGCCTCTTTCTATGCGTACCAGTCGTCAAACACACGCACGGTCGTCGCATGGAATAGTGCCCTGGGCCGCTTCTTTGCCAGCACCAACTACACAACTCCCTACGTGGGTTCATCAACCTTCTCGGCTTTCGCGCATAAGCGGTTTTACGCGAATGAAAGCTGTGAATAGTAGTAGAATGCAAGAAGCAAGAACCACAACAAAGAAGCTGAAATCTAGTCGCACGACTTGTTTCCCGCACCGCACGCACACCCGCCAACCCCCCTCGCATTGCCAATGGTGGATCTTAGAAGACTAGGATGATCACGCATAGGAAAACCCTTACGACTGAACCGAAGAGATGCTTTGCTTAGAGGAGCGTCTTCTCAAAGTTTAATCAACTTTCCTGCTCTGTTGTATGTTTTGCTCATGTCGTGGCAGCAGCATAGGAAACCCACAGAGGGGAGAACATGACCAATTTCTTTCTCTGCTTTGCCTTCTTCTAGTGCTTCGTGTGCCCGAGGGATGCTTCTATGCTGCTGATCAACCACGGGATCTCGGATTTGTGGCAGGAGTGTAAGAAGAAGAACAACAACAAGAAGAAGGATGAGGCGGGGCAACGGATTAATGATTAATGATCTTTATAATGTACAGACGCATCTTGGCGTTGGCAGCCACTCTTGGGGACGAATTGGGCACGCAGCACCAGATGGTCCGTCGGAACGGGATAGGTATCCTACCGAGGGTTAACGTGCGAGATGATTAAACAAAAAAACGACTCCAGATTCTCCATCCATTTCTTTTCATCTTCCAGATTACGCATCAGTTTCGCCTAATTTTATTCCTGTTCTTCCTATACCTAGACCTATCTTCTTCCTCTTCGCTATGTTGTTCTTCTTTGGTTTTTATTTTGTCCGCTTTTCATCGTTTTCTGCTACTGGTAAACGCGCTGAGTATAGTTTTTTTTAAACGATTTAAACTTCACTTCCACAGAATAATTGCGGGAAATTAAACACACTCCCCGCGGGCTTTAAACTTTAAAGATCGCGCACTCGAGATTGCCGGGAAGAGAGTAAGATACCCGTATTTCTTTATTTTTTCTTTTCCAGGCAGGGATGTTGACCTTAATTTCTATGGTAGAAGAAGCAATTGCAAACATTGCTCTGATCTTTGGTGTGCGGTATGTTTCGTTCCTTGGGGTCACTTATCACAGAAGTTGGTTGTTGGTCTTGAAGGCCGCCAGCAACCGATCAAGCGATGGCGGTGAATGCGAGTGATAGCAGCAGCGGTAGCACTCGCTGTTTGCTTCTTGGGAGTAATTTTCCGGTTAAATGAAAACAATCACTCTCTTTGAGCTGGGGCCCGTGGTTGGGAACTTTGTAATTGCGGCAGATAGCGAGAGCGCAGATTAAAGTCCACGGCCAAACAAAGCTCGGTATGCCCTTTGGCGATGGAGCTGGATTTGAAAGTAAGACGTATTGAATTACGGTCGGACTAGGGGGATAATTTTGACAATTCGTTGTACGTGGTGAGTGCTTTTGGCTCATGTTGACTTTCTGCTGTTTTGAGAGCGGTTTAATCCGGTGTTTAGAGTGTCTAGTTTTCAATTTTTTGAACACTTGTATTCTGAATCGAATAGCTCTGAAGTCGATTCATAGTATATAGTTTGAAAATGCCTGTTGACCTGTTGTTGAGAGATAATCGCCAATTTGCTCACGTACCTTCGATGTGCGGAAACAGTTCTATCGATTGTTTCACGCTCAAGCAGGGCTGAGCATATTCATTACAGCTAAAATACTACTGTTCGAAATTATGAAAATATGAGATATTTGGACAATGATGGGCTCGTGTACAAACTACAACGATACGGTTTTCAAATCTTCCTTGTGAAGATCATTGAAAATAATCTCTCAGACAAGACATTCCAGGTCTCTTTCAATGGTATCACTTCTGTTGCCTTAAACATTGGTGCGGGCGTTCCGGAACGCTTGTTCTAAATAACGAAACCTCGCCTCAATGAACTTAAAGAGCATTGAACGTACTCTTAGTGTGTAATCAAAGTAATGATTGCGGTAATTAATTGAATTCATTTAATTACAGTCGATGAACCAAAACGTCGGTTGTAGAAAAAATTAATCGTTTGATGATTCTACAAACCGTTCTATTGAATCAACAATAGTTTTGAATCAATATTAAAATCTTTTCAATCAACTACCTTCGATTATCTTCTTCGAGTTCTTCTCGATTCCATCGCGCAAGCAAGGTGTCTCTCAAAGAGAACCGTATTAAAAAAATCTGTGTTCGCTGAAACACCTACCAAACGAAAGCGTAGGCTCACCCTTTCATATTTCGGTCTATCGTAGGGTGTAGAAAGATATTTAATATGTTTGAATATTTTAGTGTAAATCACTTCCAACACTAATTTTTAGGCCCAACAAAATTTAAGGAAAATTTAGATAGAATGATGGAAAATTTTGATATTATGCTCAAATGAAAAAGAAATTGTACAGATCCGCGGTACTGATTTTTTTTAATGGCGTTCTGTCAGAGATACCGTGACAAGCTTACCTTCATCTTACTCGTCCGGTATACGCCTGTCGGTTGATCATTTGCTTTCGCGCTCACGACCGACGACTTTATCCTTCTGTTTTAAAACGCTCCTTGATTACGCACTCGAGATAATCGAGAGGTTGGTCAGTAGCAGCACTGTATCAATCAACAAAAGAAAAACATGCCTCTGAGCCGGCAAACCAAACTAGCGATGCAGGTTGTGAGCGCCTACACCTAGAGGGGATACTCAAAATAATTGGGATAGGCAATTTTTGGCCAACTTATAAGTGGTACGGCAGTCGTACGGCATGGTTTGGTGTAAAAACGCAAGTTTACTCTGCTACAGGTTCCTTCGGGAGCAGTCCGGATGTTCCGAGAGCGGCCAATAAGGTCAATGATCCATTTGAAGTTTATAGCGCCCATTACACATATCAATATATTGACAATAAATTGACATACTGACAATATTATTGAAAAGGTGATAGTGAAGACGATGATTGATGACAAGTATTGACGAAAAGTTGATTTTAATTTTCACTTTGTCAATACTCAGAATGAATTGACAAAAAACAGTCAATTTCGCCATCAATATCATCAATATACGAATATTGACAACATTAATGGCAATACGTTAGAAGCCTTTTTACCTCCATGTATTAATGTCAATATTATCTGTCTCAATTTCCCCACACAAGAAACATGGATCCCCTAATAAAAAATAACCATAAACGAACGATAACCCAAATCATTGAACTATTCCATAAATGGTTTGGATAATACCCAGAACACGTCGTTAAGCAAATTAACCAATAATAAATAATTCCAAATATTGTAACTGTTTGACAGGACACAGAAAATGCACAGAACCACAGATCACATGACATGTACTTCCAAATAGTTCGAATTTAATCAAATCGATTGTCGAGTGCGCGGAATTACTACAATTGAATAACCCACGTTCACGGTACGCAGTTTCCCAAATAGAAACTATCATGCTGATGTTTTGGTAAACATTCATAAATGAAAATCATGCATATAATAATTAATTTACGTTACGTGTAAGTATGTGAAACGCTGGTAGTATTTATTTTATTTTAAAGTAAAAAAATAACATGATTATGCTTGTGATTTTGTAGAAAATGTACATCCATATAAACGAAGCCTGGGTGATCGGTGACTGTAAAAAGATACATTTTTTCGAGGGAGACGACTCTATCTACGATGCAGAAAAGATTGTGTTTTGCTGTGGCTAGCTGTGCGCACGCTGAGTAGATAGAAAGAAGATTTATGACGATTCTGAAGATTTACTGCAAAAAGATGATTCGCGATGCAAGTAGATGCGAGAAATGAAAGAAGATTTTTCGAAGATTGATTCACTAGTGTGAGATTTGTTGAGCATCTAGACTTGAGATTTAGATGTGTCGCCCTCGCATTTTTTATTTAGTTTAAAATCGATTTGATATCACACAAGAAGATTTAAACAAAAGGCAACACTGCATGCACGAAGCTGCTTTGTGAGTCAGTCGATCTAAATGACGTACGTTCTCCCTCCTCTTGGGGAGGGGAAGAATATTGACTAAGTGAAATGCAAATAACTTTTTCAACAATACTCGTCAGCAATCCATCGTCATCAATATTACCTTTTCAATAATATTGCCAGTATGTCAATTTATTGTCAATATATTGATCTGTGTAATGAGCGCTCAAGCGTGTTATCATTCATGTTGTCAATATTTATGTATTGATAATATTGTAAGGAAAATTGACAATACGATGTTTGTCAATAAATTGATACATGTAATGGGCGCTTATGAAAAGTGTATTGATGAAAAACCATGAAGAATGAGCTGTTGCAAGGCATGTTTTGGCGTAGACTCCCAACAAACAATGAAAGCAGAATAAGAGCTTATTCAGGCAACAATTTACTTCTACAGCTTAATATTTTATTCAGCTCAAACTGTTTGTTGAGCTTGCAATTGCCTCCTGCTACAGGTTCCCCCGGGGGTATCTCGTGGCTCTAAGAGCGGTCAATGTGGTCAATGATCCATTTAAAGTTTATGGAAAGCCTATTCAAGAAAAAAAAAATTATGAAGAATGCTACAGGTTCCCCCGTTTGCATCCCGGAGGTTCCGAGAGCGACGTATAGGGTCAATAATGCATTTAAAGTCTATCGAAAGCCTATTGATTAAAAACCACGAAGAAAGAGCGGTCGCACGGCATGCTTTGAAAGATTACTAACCGCATTCAGAACGCTCCATCGGAACTGTTTCCAGAGAAATGACCATATCTCGGTTGATTAAAGACTGATTAAAAGTTAATTTGTGCGCCCCTCGCGCGCCGCTAGCACGTCTCTAGAGTTGGGAA